CATCACTACCAATACAGGGATGGTTTTAATGACATCACTACCAATACAGGGATGGTTTTAATGACATCACTACCAATACAGGGATGGTTTTAATGACATCACTACCAATACAGGGATGGTTTTAATGACATCACTACCAATACAGGGATGGTTTTAATGACATCACTACCAATACAGGGATGGTTTTAATGACATCACTACCAATACAGGGATGGTTTTAATGAGATCACTAACAATACAGGGATGGTTTTAATGACCTTACTACCAATACAGGGAATGTTTTAATGACCTTACTACCAATACAGGGATGGTTTTAATGACCTAACTACCAACACAGGGATGGTTTTAATGACCTTACTACCAACACAGGGATGGTTTTAATGACCTTACTACCAACACAGGGATGGTTTTAATGACCTTACTACCAACACAGGGATGATTTTAATGACCTTACTACCAATACAGGGATGATTTTAATGACCTCACTACCAATACAGGGATGGTTTTAATGACCTAACTACCAACACAGGGATGGTTTTAATGACCTTACTACCAACACAGGGATGGTTTTAATGACCTTACTACCAATACAGGGATGGTTTTAATGACCTCACTACCAATACAGAGATTGTTTTAATGACCTTACTACCAATACAGAGATTGTTTTAATGACCTTACTACCAATACAGAGATTGTTTTAATGACCTCACTACCAATACAGAGATTGTTTTAATGACCTTACTACCAATACAGAGATTGTTTTAATGACCTTACTACCAATACAGGGATGGTTTTAATGACATTACTACCAATACAGGAATGGTTTTAATGACCTCACTACCAATACAGGGATGGTTTTAATGACCTCACTACCAATACAGGGATGGTTTTAATGACCTCACTACCAATACAGGGATGGTTTTAATGACCTCACTACCAATACAGGGATGGTTTTAATGACCTCACTACCAATACAGGGATGGTTTTAATGACCTCACTACCAATACAGGGATGGTTTTAATGACCTCACTACCAATACAGGGATGGTTTTAATGACCTCACTACCAATACAGGGATGGTTTTAATGACCTCACTACCAATACAGGGATGGTTTTAATGACCTCACTACCAATACAGGGATGGTTTTAATGACCTCACTACCAATACAGGGATGGTTTTAATGACCTCACTACCAATACAGGGATGGTTTTAATGACCTCACTACCAATACAGGGATGGTTTTAATGACCTCACTACCAATACAGGGATGGTTTTAATGACCTCACTACCAATACAGGGATGGTTTTAATGACCTCACTACCAATACAGGGATGGTTTTAATGACCTCACTACCAATACAGGGATGGTTTTAATGACCTCACTACCAATACAGGGATGGTTTTAATGACCTCACTACCAATACAGGGATGGTTTTAATGACCTCACTACCAATACAGGGATGGTTTTAATGACCTCACTACCAATACAGGGATGGTTTTAATGACCTCACTACCAATACAGGGATGGTTTTAATGACCTCACTACCAATACAGGGATGGTTTTAATGACCTCACTACCAATACAGGGATGGTTTTAATGACCTCACTACCAATACAGGGATGGTTTTAATGACCTCACTACCAATACAGGGATGGTTTTAATGACCTCACTACCAATACAGGGATGGTTTTAATGACCTCACTACCAATACAGGGATGGTTTTAATGACCTCACTACCAATACAGGGATGGTTTTAATGACCTCACTACCAATACAGGGATGGTTTTAATGACCTCACTACCAATACAGGGATGGTTTTAATGACCTCACTACCAATACAGGGATGGTTTTAATGACCTCACTACCAATACAGGGATGGTTTTAATGACCTCACTACCAATACAGGGATGGTTTTAATGACCTCACTACCAATACAGGGATGGTTTTAATGACCTCACTACCAATACAGGGATGGTTTTAATGACCTCACTACCAATACAGGGATGGTTTTAATGACCTCACTACCAATACAGGGATGGTTTTAATGACCTCACTACCAATACAGGGATGGTTTTAATGACCTCACTACCAATACAGGGATGGTTTTAATGACCTCACTACCAATACAGGGATGGTTTTAATGACCTCACTACCAATACAGGGATGGTTTTAATGACCTCACTACCAATACAGGGATGGTTTTAATGACCTCACTACCAATACAGGGATGGTTTTAATGACCTCACTACCAATACAGGGATGGTTTTAATGACCTCACTACCAATACAGGGATGGTTTTAATGACCTCACTACCAATACAGGGATGGTTTTAATGACCTCACTACCAATACAGGGATGGTTTTAATGACCTCACTACCAATACAGGGATGGTTTTAATGACCTCACTACCAATACAGGGATGGTTTTAATGACCTCACTACCAATACAGGGATGGTTTTAATGACCTCACTACCAATACAGGGATGGTTTTAATGACCTCACTACCAATACAGGGATGGTTTTAATGACCTCACTACCAATACAGGGATGGTTTTAATGACCTCACTACCAATACAGGGATGGTTTTAATGACCTCACTACCAATACAGGGATGGTTTTAATGACCTCACTACCAATACAGGGATGGTTTTAATGACCTCACTACCAATACAGGGATGGTTTTAATGACCTCACTACCAATACAGGGATGGTTTTAATGACCTCACTACCAACACAGGGATGGTTTAATGACCTTACTACCAATACAGGGATGGTTTTAATGACATCACTACCAATACAGGGATGGTTTTAATGACCTCACTACCAATGCAGGGATGGTTTTAATGACCTTACTACCAATACAGGGATGATTTTAATGACCTCACTACCAATAAAGGGATGGTTTTAATGACCTAACTACCAACACAGGGATGGTTTTAATGACCTTACTACCAACACAGGGATGGTTTTAATGACCTTACTACCAACACAGGGATGATTTTAATGACCTTACTATCAATACAGAGATGGTTTTAATGACCTTACTACCAACACAGCGATGGTTTTAATGGCCTTACTACCAATACAGGAATGGTTTTAATGACATCACTACCAACACAGGAATGGTTTTAATGGCCTTACTACCAATACAGGAATGGTTTTAATGACCTTACTACCAATACAGGTATGGTTTTAATGACCTCACTACTATTACAGGGATGGTTTTAATGACCTCACTACCAATACAGGGATGGTTTTAATGACCTTACTACCAATACAGGGATGGTTTTAATGACATCACTACAAATACAGGGATGGTTTGAATGACCTTACTACCAATACAGGGATGGTTTTAATGACCTCACTACCAATACAGGGGTGGTTTTAATGACCTCACTACCAATACAGGGATGGTTTTAATGACATCACTACAAATACAGGGATGGTTTGAATGACCTTACTACCAATACAGGGATGGTTTTAATGACCTCACTACCAATACAGGGGTGGTTTTAATGACCTCACTACCAATACAGGGATGGTTTTAATGACATCACTACCAATACAGGGATGGTTTTAATGACCTCACTACCAATACAGGGATGGTTTTAATGACCTTACTACCAATACAGGCATGGTTTTAATGACCTCACTACCAATACAGGGATGGTTTTAATGACCTTACTACCAATACAGGGATGGTTTTAATGACATCACTACCAACACAGGGATGGTTTAATGACCTTACTACCAATACAGGGATGGTTTTAATGACATCACTACCAATACAGGTATGGTTTTAATGACCTCACTACCAATACAGGGATGGTTTTAATGACCTCACTACCAATACAGGGATGGTTTTAATGACCTCACTACCAACACAGGGATGGTTTAATGACCTTACTACCAATACAGGGATGGTTTTAATGACATCACTACCAATACAGGGATGGTTTTAATGACCTCACTACCAATACAGGGATGGTTTTAATGACCTTACTACCAATACAGGGATGGTTTTAATGATCTTACTACCAATACAGGGAATGTTTTAATGACCTTACTACCAATACAGGGATGGTTTTAATGACCTCACTACCAATACAGGGATGGTTTTAATGACCTTACTACCAATACAGGGATGGTTTTAATGACATCACTACCAATACAGGGATGGTTTTAATGACCTTACTACCAATACAGGGATGGTTTTAATGACCTTACTACCAATACAGGGATGGTTTTAATGACCTTTCTACCAATACAGGGATGGTTTTAATGACCTCACTACCAATACAGGGATGGTTTTAATGACCTCACTACCAATACAGGGATGGTTTTAATGACCTCACTACCAACACAGGGATGGTTTAATGACCTTACTACCAATACAGGGATGGTTTTAATGACATCACTACCAATACAGGGATACAGGGATGGTTTTAATGACCTCACTACCAATACAGGGATGGTTTTAATGACCTTACTACCAATACAGGGAATGTTTTAATGACCTTACTACCAATACAGGGATGGTTTTAATGACCTAACTACCAACACAGGGATGGTTTTAATGACCTTACTACCAACACAGGGATGATTTTAATGACCTTACTACCAATACAGGGATGATTTTAATGACCTCACTACCAATACAGGGATGGTTTTAATGACCTCACTACCAACACAGGGATGGTTTTAATGACCTTACTACCAACACAGGGATGGTTTTAATGACCTTACTACCAATACAGGGATGGTTTTAATGACCTCACTTCCAACAGACCTGTTCTTTGAGAGTTGAAACTAAAGTATAAACACAGTGAAGGTATTTGTTAGTGAAGATGGGCAAGGTGTGATAAGAACAGGAGCAATTGATCTTGCACAGAAATTATCATTTGATGTTCCCATTTAAACATATATACCAGGTGCTGTTAATTCGTTTAAATATAAATTCTAAAAATTAAATTTACTTGAAAAAATCTGACATTTTCATTTTGTTTTTTCTTTAATTGTTATATTCTGAGAGGAAAGAAAAGACAAAAAAATAGGAAAATGAAATGTTAAAAATGTTTTAATTTGTTGCCAGTCCCAGAAAGACAGGATGAGGAATATCATAAAACATATACGATTGATGTAGTTTGTTGATAGACACAGGTCAAACATAAAACATCTGATCAAATGGAACATAGTTCAGACATAAGATATCCAATCACATACTTGCCAGCCTGTGGAATTAAAAAAAACTGCACACAAAAAAAAAAGAAAAGTATGAAAAGTATAATTGAGAACTTTTTCATCATTTGTATCAATGTTTTGAATGAGAACTTTTTCATCATTTGTATCAATGTTTGAATGCGTTGTTAATAAGCAATGAATATTTTCCCCTTAAAGGCACACAAAGTTTAGCATGTTGACATCATTTATAAATTGCAAGATTGCAGATTTTAAATGAAAATAGCATTTTTTTAAAATTGTGAGTTTTTTTTACACTGATCGATAGTATTTAAAATGTAATCAGATGACAAATTTGACAGAAATGTATATTTCATTAAAATTATTCTTAGGTTAATTATAGTTATAGAAATACAGTTTCCTGTATTAAATGAAAAAGGAGAAAAATGATTTCTTCATACGAAATACACAAACAGGTTTGTATTTATGGTTTACTAGTCAAATCGAACTAATAGATGTGACGCGATGTTACCGGGGTATAAATGGAAGGCATATTGTGCTACATGCTATTGGGAAGTCTACTCATTTTTTTTTTTTTTACTAATGTCACTGTAAACAGGATTTCAAAAGGAAAATCATGAACATTTTCCACCCCCTTGAACTATTAAATTATACTTGACCTATTTTTTAAGAGGTATCCATGTGCCATGTATAGATGTTTACATTTATAGCATCAATTCTTTTTGAGACATGTTTACCTTCTATATAATTTTATATGTTCAATCCCCTTAATCAAATAGTAAACATATTTTTCTAAAAATTGTAAAAAAATGTCCTTAAAGTGTAACATTAAAGGATTTTGATATATTGATATCTTCATAAAAAATTATCTCCAGCTTTTGCCTCTCTCCTGAACTATAATATCGTAAAAAAGGAACAGAATGTTAGTATCTAAATAAAAATCCTTTAACCAATTTTCACATCTGTAACACTGCATAGTTTTTAAGAAATATTATTAAGCTACCGGTAATAAAATTTTACCAAAACTTTTCCATGAACTGAATTTTGCGCAAGGGGGGAAAACAATTTTCTTATTTTTATCCATCTTGAATTATTGCACCGCCAGTTTTGAATGTTTGTCTTATGCAAAAATATTTATTTTCTAAATACAGTGAAAAATTGCACAAAAGCATGTACCGCCATACAACTTGGCAAATGTAGAAAAACTGCACAAAGTATGGGTAAACCATACAGGTTGGCATATAGAAACTGGTTAACACATAAGACATCCAATCATAAAGAACCTAGCTTACACAAAATACGTCCAATCATATTGAATCTTGTGAACTAAAAATACATCCAATCCTATTTAACCTAGTTCAGATAACACATCATTATTATTATTGAATCTAGTTTACGCAAGATTTTAACAACTGCAGTGAATCAAAACACATTTAAAGCTTATTTAACAAACAATTAGCAATGAATTAAATGTTTTAAGGACAAATATGCAGGTCTTATGTTTTACAATAAAATGGTCTCCACTGTTGTCTCTTCTTTTTTAGAGCCACGGATCATCATTTTTTAGATTCATGGTATTGAACCCAATCTTATTTCAGCCTCAAATTTTGTTAAAAAACTAAAGACCCTTACGTGCCATAAAATCTTTTATTCATTTATAATTAAAAATTCTGTTTTACCTTTTACTTAAAAATAAAATAAACACATTTAAAAACTGAAAAATTTTCAGCATTAACCATTGGTAGTGGTAACTTAAAATAAATCTATCAAAACAGATTATAAGAATCTTTTTTTAAGATACACATTAATTATTATTTAAAAAAAACTCCACAATTTTGAAGTTCTATTTCCTAACCCTTTATTAATACCGGTATCAAAAAATTCAACACACTTAATTAGGAAACTTATATCCTAAAAATACAATCAGATCTGGAAATTTTGTATTTAACATAGTCCTATAGTATTGTAAGATGAATAATTTTACTCCATTAGCCATTTTAAGGCATGCTTCTTATCAGGCCTTGTATGCGAGACAGAATAATTTCATTAGTACTGAGACAACTGTTTTCAGTGTAAGGAGGTCGTATGGTAAGGGCATCTGCAATAGTCAAAAATTGGCCATCCATGCCACCTGTTGCTACAGGCAACCTATTCTGCTCCAACCATGACTTGAGCCTTTGCATTCTGATCTTCATTTCCTCATTGGTGAATGTTTCTTCAGCCACTGGTCTAAATAGATGTTCAAATTGTGATTTGATCATGTTGGTTGTACCAGAAATAACCTCAATGCTCCTGACGGATGGGCCCATGAGGAGTTTCATGGAAATATTCTGGGGTTTACTCTCCTCAGATGGAGATACCAGAACTACACACTCTGACACAGGGTCTATGGTATAGACATAACCAGTGAACTCTTGTCCGTCTTCAGTACAAGCCCGAACTTCATTATTGACCAGTTTCATCCACTCCTGTGAATCTTTGGTAAAAATTGGATGAAGAGAATCTTTATCTGTAATTTCCCCAGATTCCATTTGTAAGAATCTATGACAAAAATACCAATAAAAAGAGTTAAAGATTAAAGTTTTTGCAATGGTTCAATCAGCTTTAGGCATTCCCTGAGATGTCACCATTGTTTTTTGTGCTAAATTGAAAATTGCTTCCTGATTTGAAATCCAATAACAGCTTTGTCTTGACAATAAGCTGTTGATGCAGAATTGATTTAACTCTGAGCTGCTCCTCTTGGCTATTTTGTGTTCCTGGCAGTCGGTCAATACACTCTCTTGCTCTCTGAAACTGAGATTTCAATTCTATCATCTTCTGAGCAACATCACTTGTGTCTTTCTCAATACTGCAAGATTAGAATAGCACAACATTTAAATATAATCTACATGCTAAACAACTACCTTTAATCTAATTCATGCTTTAGCCATTTTCAAATGTAAGCCAATACTAGTTTGCTTATTTTATATCCACACCAATTTAATAAGCAAAATTTTGAAAACAAGGCATATAATTAATATAATAAAAATGTAGACACAGAAATGGTCTGTTAAAGCAATGTTTCTCAATCCCTGCTCAACATTATACTGGTCCCCCACAAAGCCAATTCAAGTGTTCTGCAGAAAAACTTGATGGGAAGGGATTGTTAAAAGTGACAACATGGAAAGATATTACCAAAGTTATCAAACTACAAACTTATTTTTAATGAGCCTGAGGTCTGACATTTTTGGGTAAATGGATTTTAACTTACAGTTACAGCCTAATTTTTGTGTTTGTTCTTGTAAAAAAATTAATAGACTGTTAATAGATATAGATTCATCAGCACATGCTTTGCAAGCGTAAAGTAACTATGACACACTGCGCAAGAACCAATCACTTGAACTTGTAACAAACTTGCAATCAAAATAGTGCAGGGAAGAGAGTTTTTAATGGTAGCTCTATAATATATAAAATTTTAACTGTCACTTAAAATCTTGTTAAATTTCATGTACCACTGACCTTGTACGGCTGGGAATGGATTGTTAAAAGTGACAACTGGTTAAAAACAGGATTATGAAAACCAGTTTGATAAAAAAAACCTGTTGTAACATCCCTAGACCCAGACAACCTAAACTAGGTCTTATGAAGCTAACATAAGTATCAGCAGGGGTTTGAACCCTATTTTAGTGTAGTAAATCAATAAAATTTAAGTATTGTAGACCTATTTTATAAACTTTATTAAATTTTATATTTTCACAAAAGAAAGTTAAATTACTTTATTATTCGTAGGACCTATATTATTCGGATACTGTCTTTAACTAGCTTAAAACAAACATTTAATGTACACAAAAATCCAGCTATCTTTTTGACATTTATGAATGACAACATTTGTGGTGGGCTATTTAGAAACCACCTCTGTCATTGAAGTAGTGTTCTTAAAGGAAATGTAAAAATCTTGGTAACAAATTTATTTATTTCAAATAACAAGTTATTTAGCTTACTAAGTCTAAGTAAATTTATAAATAAAATATAACTAAATAATTATCAGAATAGGCTCTGATTTTGATAATCGTATTTCTCAAGGGGAGATAACAAGTAAAAAATAAACTCTTCAGTCTTAAGACAGTCACAGTTTGAGTTTCACAGTCCTGGTTACCCTGGAACTCCAAAAATAGTAAAATATCATCTCAGAGCAGTATTACACAATCTCAAAGATAAAGTTACTTCTTAAATTCAACATGGTTCAAACTCAAAGTCAGTTCAGCATAAATTAACATTTGTTCAAAAATAATTAATTTACAAATAAGGACGGCATTTGTATTTCAGGAATAGTATTTAGTATTGAACAGTATTGCATGAGAAGTAGGTAATAAGGGGAGAGACTGCAATCAGGTTAGTACAAAATAAAATGAGTAAAACAGAGTATGGTTAAACCTGAAAAATTAAACGCAACAAAACAGCGAACGTGTCGGCAGAAAGCCTTCGTCAGCGAACAAAACAACATTGTTGTTTTGTTCGCTGACGAAGGCTTTCTGCCGACACGTTCGCTGTTTTGTTGCGTTTAATTTTTCAGGTTTAACCATACTCTGTTTTACTCATTTTATTTTGCATGAGAAGTAGGCTAGGCTACTACTATATCGGCCCTATATTAAGATGTAGGGTCGATTTCTTTGTGAGCTATTGGCCTCCCGGCCTTAAAATTTATTATTTATCACCCTCACTATCAATGTTCCCTTTAAGCCGCGGCCGTGCAGCTATCTCACAGACACTGCGCAGCAGTTTTGAGTATCCGCGCAGCAAATTTCCATGTAAGTGTTTGTTTGTGTTTGTGGGCTGTAAAATTTTGCACACAAAAAAATTGATGCTGTAAAACTTTGCACACAACTGAATGATTTTGCACACGAACGAACAAACCTTAGAGGGAACATTGCTCATATTATTTTTTTAGCATTCGTCCGGACGTGTAGACACTGCCCATTTTCTATTAAGGGGCGATCCTTCAATCAATGTTGCCCACAATTATGGATGATATATTGGATCCCCCATCCCAATCGTCACATATTTGCAACACTGACTATTTAAGAAACCTTTACCATGGCCAGTTTCCAAGCTACTAGTACTTGTGTGCTCTCCACAGTGGTCCTTTCACAACAATAAAAAAAGATGGCTGTTTCAGATTCAGCAGCCCACGACGACTTTGTTTTGGATTCACTCCCCTTATTTTTTTGTTATTTTTTGTTAAAAGAGTTACATTTTCGGAATTAAAATTTTATTGGTTGATTAATTATAATTGTAGAATTTTCATTGGTTGGTTCATTATCATATTTCTTTTGTTCCGCCATATTTGATATCTTTGGGGTGCCTGTGGGGTGTGGAGATTTATTCATTTTGTGGCTATATTTTCGTTGCAACCTGAAATAAAGTGTGTAAAAGTGTATTTCATGAAACTGTAAGTTGAATTTTCATTATTTCTTTATTTTTTAATTATTCGGGGCCCTTTTTTTAATTGTTTTTTTGTTAATTTTTATAGTTTTCTTGCCAAAGTGTGAAATTCCACATGTTTTTACTTGTGGATTTACGGCTAGTTTTTAGGGTTCAGGTTAGGTTTAGGGATCGATTTAGGGTTAGGCAAAGGGATAGATTTAGGGTTCAGGTTAGTCATAGGGATAGATTTAGGGTTCAGGTTAGGCATAGGGATCTATTTAAGACAATTTTTTCATAAAATTTTTAACATTTTCATCCTAATTTTAGCAAACGTGAATTATTTTATTTTTTCCAGGCCATCTTGGTTGCCCCGACCCGTGAACACGTAAAAGTGCGCGGGTCGAGGCAACCAAGATGGCGGCCATGGAAATAGACGTAGGCCGCTCTCTCTTAAATTACCAAAAAGACAACTTGTCAACTTTAGCAGGATTTTGTCATTTGAAGTTATTGATTAACAATTATCACATTGAGCAACTGCTCATTCAATGCGATTTAGTAGTGGGTAAATTTTAAGTTTAAGGACGAATGCCACATTTTTATCAAATTTCACGAATGTATCCCTAAATCGATCCCTATGCCTAACCTGAACCCTAAATCGATCCCTATGCCTAACCCTAACTCGATCCCTATCACCCTATGCCTAACCTGAACTGTAAATCGATCCCTCAACCTAACCTAAACCCTAATTCAACTATAATAAACACACAAAAGACACCGTGACATCCCTCCTTAATATCAGCCTAGTACTGTTTTGAATTTGGGACCGGCAGCGTTTGGAGGTTCACATATTTAATTATTTTGGCAACACATTCAGAGCCGATGCCATGCCATGCCAATTTAATTCTGATAATTTATTTAATTTAAAATTTAAAGCTTGATCATGATCAGCGTGAGACTTTGAAAGCTTCTAGACAGCTTCAGAAAATCATGTTACGTTCAACAATTTAAATAAATTGTCAGTAGTCTGTATAAAATTACATAAAAATACCTTTTCATAACCTCGTAAACGTAAGGCAAAATATTCAATTCATTTTCAGAGGCCGCTAATGCTGCCATCTTCTTCCAACTTCCATTGGTAATTGGTAACTTTGTGGTAGGAAAGGTTTCCGTAAAATATTTGTAACACCTTTACTACAGCTTTATTATTTGTACGTTTAAACGGCCCATTGATATATAAAATTAAAAGAAAAAGAAAAAATATGTAAATTTAAAAACATTGAAATCAAGTTTATAAACATAACTTAAAAAAAGAAATTGACGTTCAAAAAATTATTTAAAAAAAAAAAAAAAAAATAACCGCAAGTAGTATGAACAATTTAAACAGTTTGGAGAAATGTATGCCCATGCGGAACTCCTAAGGACCTGCCCCCTTAAAAAATAAAAAAAAAAAAAAAAAAAATAAAAATTAAAAAAAATGAAATCAAAGTAAAAAAAAAAAATAAAAAAAAAAAATAGACGTTCAAAAAATAATTTAAAAAAAAAAAAAAAAAAATAACCGCAAGTAGTATGAACAATTTAAACAGTTTGGAGAAATGTATGCCCATGCGGAACTCCTAAGGACCTGCCCCCTTCAATAAGTCATGTGACTTAACAAAATGGCAACTTATGAATGGTAAGTTCCAACCAAAAAATTAAAAACAAATAATTTTTTTTTGACATTAAAGACTGTAAACAGTATGCTTAAATATAATTTCATCAATTGTTTAATTCATTTCCATGAACTGTATTACTGGCCATACATTTAAAAGCTTCTTGAATACTGTATACTTGATTTTCAAGAATACAATATTTTTTTTTATTATTAATAAAGTTAAAAGTTAACCAGTTAAAGTTAATAAAGTTAAAAGTTTAACTTAGTCTTGGACGTCTTGGTACTTAGCTTAGCTATTTTAAGTTTAACGGACGTAATAATATTAATCAATGGCTAAAATAGATAAGAAGGACAAGATTTCTGAACAAAATATGCATCAAGTTGTTGTTTCTTTGATTATTATGATTCATATTGTAATTATATAATTATATTATTATAATTATATCATCAATGAAAAGCATAAATAAAAAATAAATAGTAGGAATAACATTAACATCATATTCATAATCATTTCTTTTCAAGGATATAAATTTAGGTTTTATTAATATATAACAACTTTGAATTTGAAATTTTAATATTAAAAGAAAGAACTGAGGGCTGGCATAATAAATATATATTCTAGTATTTAGTTAATATAGTTAATTAGTATAAATTAAGTAGTAAGAAAAAATTAGATTGCTTGTACTTGTACTGTAAATTTATCAAGAAAAAAGTTCACATTTATTTTATTTTTTTAAAACAGTTATATTTGATTTTTAAAAAAAATTTGTTTGCTTTTTTTAATTAAAAAAAAAAGGTGGTTATACAATTTTAAACGCATCGCTAACAGATTTCTTACTGACACATTTAACTAACCCTTCTTATAGAAAAGACTAAATCTACCGTAACAGTTATTATTTTAGCATAAATAAGTAATTTACATATTAAAAATAATTTTGTTATACAGGTTTCCTCGGCCACGTAATTATGCTTTTGAGACAAAAGCTTTTGAGGCTGTGGCCGTGCCTGCCACATCACATCCTCTCAAGGCTATCACAGTAGGTCATTTATTTATAAATTATACTTGAATCTGTTTGGTAGAGTGAAGATAATTTGTGACCCGTTAGGACCAAAGGATGGATAAATCACTGGAGCTAAGTATTTTTATACGGTGGGGAGAAAATAATATTTTTGAAAAAAAATAGCTATCCAATTATAAATCATGTTATACATTTAAAAATTTAATACCATGCACAGTGCCCGATCATGTTATACATCGATAAAAAAAAGTCCTTCTTCTATTTGAGTAACAAAATTTATTTTTATAAACCAATCAGAAACAGTTTAAGGGAAAATTTGAGGATAAACTAAAAAAATAAACTTAACCAATGAAAATGTGTAGTTAAATTTAGTCTTGTTTATTTAATTAAGAAACATATAGCTTCACTTTACTAAAATGATTACAGTTTTGTGTTATATTTTTAAACAGCTGACCACTTCAAAGTCTCACAGAAAAGTAAAAAAAGGGAGTTTAGTATTCATTTTAGTTTTAGTATCAAAAGAAAGCCTGTTCAATGCCCTTTTAAACCTTTGAAAACGCTTTAAAAAAAACCATGGGTCTCATTTTATTTTATAAAATGAGTTCTTATTAATATTTGAAACCCAACATCTAGTATGAACAGAGTTTTAGCAGAGTTACATGTTAAAAGGTTATTTTCATATCTATTTTTCATCTATGGTTTTCAATATTAATTTACAGCATATCACATCAAAATTTAACAAATAAAGTGTATTCTGTTTGTGGTTTCATTTTTATTTCTTTTTGTTTATATAAAAATTTACATTTTTATGCAATAAATTTTATTAGAATAACATTGGACTAAGATAAGCTAAATCAAATTACGACACAAACTAAGGGTGTTAACTAGACAGGAGAAGTTTTATATATAACAAAACTTGTTAAATCATACTTTTTACCATCTTGCTAATGAAATAGGTTTATGACGTGATATTTGCTATCATGAATATGCCATATCTAAAAGCTTATTTTTAGAGTCTAAATAATTTGCTAAAACTGTTATAATTATGAAATTTTCATCTCCTACCCTTCAAAAAAAAAAAAAAAATTATTATGACGTCACAGTAGAAATATGTGTTTTCACCACTGTTTGTCTATCCCAGTCGCTCCCAAAATATGACCTGGGTCACCCTCGAGTGTCACATTGGCCTTGAGCAGGACCATAACAATGGGCTAAGGTGGAAGCTATCCAAGGCGCCATCATCAGAGACACCAAGCTGGTCTTAAGATAGGAACTTGATAGTGATTGAAACTATAAAATCCATTGTACTTCACTCAAAAAAGGGGGGGCCAAAAAAATAATTTTACTGATTTGCCCTAGGCAACACTTCTTTCTATTTTTGAGGGATGCCATATTCAGGATTTACACAGTGGGCTGCTTTTTCTCTCCATGGCCCTACCCTGGGTTGCTGTCGATTCCTCACAGGGGCACCCACAGCAAAATATTACATGTTGCAACAGTAATTTGGCAAAGGCACCAGAAATGGAACAATTCTAGGAAGCATTGGTGTAGAAGAACAAAATACATTACACTGTTACGTACCATTAAATGTTTTATCTAAATTTAATCTGTTTTAAGATGTGCTTTGTAAAATGAACAATACGTAACAAAGAACTGAAAAGCCATTATACAAAGAAAAACTTTACCAAATCTAATGTAATAACAATATTAAACTTAATTATACAGTGGCTATAACGCGCCCCGCCTAACGTGAATTCGGATATAACGCTGTCGTATCATGGCTCCCGAAATTTGAAATTCATTCACTCCAGCAGGCCTAAGTTCTTTGAAAATTGTATCCATTGCTTGGAAAGCCATTTTTTAAAGCGAAAAAATTCACAACTTTTCAAAATATCGTAGAAAATGAGCCCCTAAACGCACCACGTTCAAACTAGTATCAAAATTAATGCCAAAAACGAGGCTTTGTCCCGATAGAACTATAAATAGTTCTCGTATATGTTCTCGGAAAAAGGTTAAATATTGTGAAACTGCGCATTAACGCAACCCCGCTTTTAACGCGATCCGATTTTATGGACCCCGATCATCACGTTATAGCGGGGTTCCACTGTACTATTAATTATATATAAATATTTATATAAATATATATTTTTATATATATATAATATTAAATTATATGAAGGATACAGAAATCAAATAAACAGAAAATAAAAACTGTATCAACTTACACCACAGCAAATGAAAAGTTACAATGCTTGAAAGTTACAAATATTAATTTACACTCACATAAAGAGTACAATCTTGTAAGCATATTATGTGTAAGCAATGTCCTAAAATATATGCAAAAATCTCACTCTGCTAGGAAAGCTGTTGGCTTATATATTGAGAGTAAATGAGAACCTTCTTTAAAAAAAATTCTGGAAATTGTGTCACCTTATAGTATTTTTTAGAACAAATATAATGTTATTGAATGTAAACAACCTTTTCAAAATCTAGGGAGGGGTGGGTAAAAAGGATTGGTGCTACACATTATAAAAAAATGGGGAGGGGAGGTCAGGTTGAATGCCATGGCTTGCAAATAAAAACGAGGTCAATGCATAGGCTATGCTACACATAAGATATGCTACAAAAACAGGCACAGAGGATATATTGTGGACTAAATAGTATTACTAGTACTGAGAAGGCCTACTTCTAGAACAATATGCAATGAGTTCATTTTTGAAAGCTGATCATTCCTACAAAAAATTATGTGATATTTTTACAGCATTTTTTGCTATCCCTTTGTTACTACAGACCTACCTATCTGATGCTTTTCTTTTCCATTTTTACAGCATTAGGGATGTAAATATCTATTTATTGACTCTCAGAATGTCAGCTAAATTATTGCAGAATTTTTGAATAAATGTATTCACTTCCTAAAATAACTTCCTGTTAAGACCAACCCCCCCCCACTCCCCCC